CGCTCCACAATTCTTTTATCAACAGGTGTGCCAATCCATAATTATAAGCTTGATGCCATCTAGTCAAAGACTAAAAAAAATTTACGCACGCAAGCACTTATATTAGCAGATAATTCGATGGCCCGTGTAATGAGTTATGTCTGCATGACTTGAAATGCATAGCTAACAATCACAATGTGACACGATTGCAACGAGAATTATGGTCTTTTCTGCATCCTACTTATAATCGTAAGCGCATTTGTTTGGCTCAGGTTGATGTTATGATGAGAGGCGTAGCATTACAAGACTTATGGAACAACGGGGTCCTTCTTCTTGTGTTGAGCTAATCGTTTCTGTCAGTTCCAGTTGGGCAACTGGGCAACTGGGCAACTGGAACTGACAGAAACGATTAGCTCAACACAAGAAGAAGGACCCCGTTGTTCCATAAGTCTTGTAATGCTACGCCTCTCATCATAACATCAACCTGAGCCAAACAAATGCGCTTGAACAATCCTAGACTAACTGAAGCATCGTTAGTATGTCAACGGTATTCTTACTCAATTCGATTTTAGAGGACTTGGCGGTCTTAAGCATATGTAGGCCGTGAAAGTCACACTAAAAGTATTCTTGTCACTGTTTACTACAATGCGCGCGTATTCTTGTACGTAGACGATCTATTGGTCATGCCATATTCCATGTTTAGGTGCGTCCTGTAGGAGCTGAAAACATGAAAGGGAGAGTCTTACGTATGAACGCGTGCCAGACGCGTCTCGGTCGGCCGCTGCGGGCCTCTTCAGTGGCTTCCCGATCACAAATTGACATCTCTCAGTGCAGCAGCCTCAGCCGCTATGGTGACATGGATATCATTGATCAATTGCTCTTGCCATCAAGTTTAACATACAATAGTACAATGCACTTAATATGGTCAATCGTTTGACCAAATTTATCGCAGGTTATTATCGCTTTTCACGCCAGAAATGTGGTCATATTATCGCACATGATAGTCTGCTTGGGCCACTTGTCAACCCGATCTATAGCTTAACCTCACTAGTCTTTAAGCGCCTCATACCTGCTAAGTATCATCGACTCTGAATTGATGCGATTACCGACTTATTTGTACGCGCCAGCACTGCGTACAGCTCAGCGATTTTCCTCGGCGTAGATTGCCATCGTTGGGTCTGACATGGAAAAAATCTTGAGCTAATGTTGTGAATTGAGCAGATGAAGTTTGAGCTGAGCAAATTATATATAAAGACGGTCATTTTGTAAAGAAGTTTGATGTCTGTCAACTGAATGTTATTGCGTCTGCTGTTAAGATGAGATTGTGTTGCTGTCGATATAATTTTAGTTTAAATCTAACGGCATAAAGTGTTTATGAGAATTGCAGAAAGTAGGTTTAAAGACAACTATACCGTTTATATCACAAATTTACGTTTCTTATTGGTCAGACGACCACTGCATTGTAAAAAGCGCGGACAACCTCATTGCAAAATATTGCATCTTTTCTATTCCACCTATACATCCTACATTTCTACGTTTTTGGACGTCACACCCACGAATCTAAACTCCCAGATACATTCTCTGCTCTTCGTTTATAGTTTTCAGACCACTTTTAAAATTGACACTCTGGAAATGCGCCAGTAATTAACGGACACGCATAATTAAGGGAACGGTTGTCAACACATCCGCATTTTGCTAACACCACTATCCATCGTGCAATTGGCCAACATAAAAAAGGACTTAAACCACTGTGTTTAGGGTCATTATGTACTATGTAAGCCCCTACTATGCTGGCACGCTAACAGTCAGCACGCAATAACAACGCCCTTAAATAAATTGGCAAACGCTGAACGGCTGGGTTTATTTTTTATTAGACTAATTCATCCTTTTAAGTATCGGGTATAAATGGCATCATCTAATTGCATATTTTTGAATATTGTCGAAGAACCGTTTCGAAAAAAAGCGACTTTTATAATCCCCTGGCCAGAAAGGGAGTTTCGTGGTAAATCTTGCATTTCAGTTACGATGTACGATTTGCTAAAAATCGCTTTTTGTAGTGCTGAAAGTCTCTTTTAAAAACTAAAAACGTTAAGAGATATGCCAGAGCAGATACAAAAGTGGCTGACGACTTGAAGCCTGTAGGGTCATCAGCTTCGGCTGCAGAAATCAACTTGAATGGACATAAGCGATAGCGAGGCAAGAGAGATTATTCAGGTACAAAGAACGGCAAAAATCTGTTACCACAGCGCTGTAGACATCTGTTCTTTTGCAAGCGATACGGCTATTGAACAATTTACCTCTTTTTAGGAAAGTGTTGGTGTTCTAGTCCGTGCTCCCACTCCCGACACTGGCGAGGTCTCCAGCGAGATTGCAAACACCCACATTCGCATGTTATTTACTTAACTACGATCACTAACCTCCACTTCCAATTTTATATTGCGATTTACTGCTTGTAGAGACAAATTGCGGCCATTAAATGCTGAAAATATCTCGGTGATAGCAATCGTGCCCTTAACAATATGTTAGAGTGCGCGACTAACGACATTCTAGGCGAGATGCACCGCCCTACCACAAGCGTTCGCGACCGCGCGGATGCATCACGTTTACTGAGCCTTTTGACTGTGCAGCTATGGGAGCGTCAAAAAGTGCATCTGTCTCAAAACGAAACGTTGACATTAGGAGGAAGGACTGAAGTAGGTATTAGCCTTTTTTACACTGATTTCGTCATTGGATCATTCAAAAGTCAAGCGAGTAAGTAAAATATAGTAAACTAAGTATCGGATCTACTCTTGACAAAAATGAGCGTACTTCTGAGTTACCCTTGGAAACTTCAGGGAACTTTCCAGAATGACCTGGCCGAATAAAAAGCGAGCCCAGTCGTTTAGCATTTGCCTGTATTTTAACCTCCAGTGGTGTACATTTTTTTTACGAAAGACACTCTCACCCACGCTCGACAGGGAGTGCGAATATTTGTAACTTACAGACGCGAAGTTGGCAGTGACGTGCTGATTCGAGTGATCATGTGGTCTAGAAAAGCGTGCTGATCTTTTAATGCTTGTCCGTTTCCCACAAAGACATGGGTTTTCGCAGCACGAGCACATGAGCATAGATGCGCATCAGCTGCCCTTCGAACTGCGAATATGTCACTACCAACACTCTCGTATCAAATGTGCGAGACTTTTGATGTCATTTGTCCAGGGCTTGGTAAGATTTAAGCAACGGGCTCAACACTGCTCTTTTTGTTAGCTGCCATTTCACACGCATCGTACACATGAATTTGTCATAGTTGATTGCACTTTTTTCAATAGTCGCCGCCAGTATGGGGTCCAGATCTCCGTACTGTGAGATCTTTACGAACAATGTGATTCGAACGGTCGCAACTGCAGCGCACATGACAGTCCGAGAGACATCAATCGTCGAATGAGCAGTAGTACACCACCCTGCGTCCCAGTCCTTTTCCGCGTTAAGTTGCGTAACGGCTGATCGATCAATTGCGTCACGAGCGTTGTGCCGCTTGTCTGCTCCTTAACAACATTCACTTCGCCTCGAGCGTCTCATTGTCCTCATAAAATTGTCACCTTCTTCTCATCACCAAGGCCAGCAGTCGCGTTAAACCTAACGAGTATTTCCGCGTTCGGAGAGTCGCTGGCTCTAGCTCCGGCAACGGGTTTGACTACTCACGCGATGGCGGAGTGGCCGGAAAGGTGCCACGTGTAGATGGAGTGGCCAACGAAAAGGGCAGCTGCTGCCACGTAACGAGCACACCAGCCATCACCAAAAGCACGGCCGCAATAGCAATTTGACGGTTATCGTCGTACTCACACGGGGTCGACCGTGCACGCCGTGGAGTTGGATCGATACAGAGAGGATGGTCGAAAATGGGCCGCAGTCAGGGTTGCTTTCTATTTCAGAGAGCGTATGTCGTTTATGTTAAGTGTGGATTATCGGACGCATCGCTAGGCTGTGGAGGCTGATGTGGACCAGGGCGAATTGGAGGAGGAACAACAGAAGACAACGTTGTACAGGTACCATGCGCTAGCAAATTTGTCAATATTCTCTTCACTTTGTCTCGGCTACAGTCGAAAAGATCTAGTGTTGATGGGAATCAATTGCAACCATATTTGTCAGACTCTAGGTCATAATGATATGGCCACCCACATTGGCGCTCATAACCCTGTAACTAGTGCGAGTTAGACGCGGTCGTTTGAGTATGATATGCACAAAGCTTTAATTTACCCCTATGCAGTGTTAAAAATCCGATAATATGAATCGATCTCATAGCTCACACATAAAAAAACGCTTTCGTGCCCGGCAAAAAGGATGCAGCCACACCGAGCATACAAATGTCAAGTACAAAAGAATGTTTTTTGAGTGCTCGGGGTCATCATACATTCTTTTTTACTTAACATTTGTAAGAAGCGCGAAGGAGGTTGAAGCGAATAGAGTAGGTGTTTGTGCTTGTGCTAACGAGCGCGCGCGCGAAAAAACGTTTCTCTGACGATGCCTTACGATTTTACTATAGCAACAAACGCGATCAATCCACAAGCGCCGATTATGTTAAAGTATGCGCTTGGCAGCCGGCAGTAGTTACTCAGTAAACACAGTCACATCCAAATTACTGAATGTTAAAGCTTGCCACCGAGTGAACGAGCAAAATAGATCGCACGATCAGACATTAAAACGCCTTTGCGCATACCGAACTCAAATGGCTGCGTCTAAGTCGCATTAGCAATGGAGTTTCAAACACCAATGTGGGTGGCTGTATCACGTCAGCGAGGCCGGCAGAAGCAGACTTCACCGCAAAACGACAGCAAAAGCTTCAAAAAGTTTACTTGCATCAGCCACGAGCGAGTCATCCCCACGTACTCAATTATGACAAACAATGACGAGCAATGACGAGCAACTACTTTGCGTCCACGTACTGATGAACTTCTTTTCTTCAAATGACGGTGCCGTCGAGTCAATACAAAGGGTCGCGAATGCTATCTTTAAGGCATAGCATCGTGTTGGCGTGACTGTGGCTACTCCATCCAGGCCTTAGCAATCTCGTGGAAGTGCTGACGTAACAGCATGTGATCCTCCTGTTCAAGGGAAAAGCGCACACCCGTCACGTCGAACGGACACATACTTGCCACACCGCTCTCCGAAACGTTACCCGGATATACCTCGCATAGTCGTGCCTGAGTGTAGTACAGGGGCTTTGTTTTCGGGTCATACACCAAGATGTTATCGCTGTTGAGGTACAGCACGCTGGCATTTGCAGCGAGCCTTTCATCCTCCGCTTTTGCAGGATAATAATGCGTGGCGGAGCCGCAGAGCACCGACTTGCCGGGACCAGAGTCGCGAAAGTCCCAACCCGCAGCTCCCGTTCCGAAATCAGAAAACGCATACTTCGTCTCAGCGAGCTCAGTGGCCACAAAAAACAGTTCCTTATCGCCGTAAGAAGGCGGTCGGCCAACGCGATTGCGCGCTACGAACGCTCCCAGGATCGCTGTTGCTCGTGGCTGCCGCTTCTTGTTCCATAGTACTAACGACGAGTCCATCTCGTGTCCAGCTCGGTAGTTCCACGAATGACTTGTCAACAGTTGCTCGCTGGGTGAGAAATGTAGCGTTACAGGCACCTTGTTCTCGCTTGTTGCCTTTGGTCGTTCAATGTGACCTAATGGCTTGAACGGCGACACATCGAACCGTGACATGAAGTCATGTATTTGTCTTACGTCACCATTGCTACCTTTGGGGATGTTACTCATAAACATTTTGTCTTCGACCAGTCGATCATGGAAAAATAGCGTGCCCGTACTCAGGTACTTGTCCGTATCCCAGAGCGACATGGGACTCTCAAAGAACAACGTGTCGGCATCAAGCAGCATCACCTCTTCAAACCGCGAGAAAGTCACAGCCAGTATCTTGATGTCAAAGCTTCGGAACGACTCATAGCAGTTGCTCAGACTCTCACAAAACACCTTCACGGACGCATCCTGCACACTGACGGTCTCTGACGCGAGTTCACAAACATCATAGAAGTGCAGCACACCCACTTCTTCTTGTTCCAGAACTGTGTGAATCGTCGAGTCTTTCAGATCTCCACAATGCGGTATTTCGATTGGTACATGCACGTCCATCGCTCGTAGCTCCAAGATCAAAGACACGCCCAGCGTTGCAATGTTGTCAAACAATGGCAACACAATACCACGCTTGTCAATTGTCCGCCGCGCCGTTTCGTGGATTGTGAAGACGAACTGCTCCTCCATGCGGTTCACGTCGTCAGCCGAGAACGAGCTGTCCCCATGATCAGGAGGTGGCGGTCTGTAGCTACTATCATGGACTTCTCCCTCCCATTTATGCGCGCTAACGTTATGCCCAATAGTCAGATTGGAACTTTGACGGCTCTCGCTCATGCGCACTTTTTCAAGAGAGACAGGCGTAACACGCAACGTGAACATGAAATCGGCCATCACTACGAGCATCACAAGGCCGCAGAGCACTAGTGACAGCATACATGAACGCGAGATTGAAGAATGCATATCATGCATAATACTGAAGGGAGAGCAGTGGTCGCTTCGATTAACCTGCGGGATCAGTGGAGGCTCCTCAGGAGGCATCTGTTGTCGCGTCGTCGGGTCCGTCGTCATCGCCGCTTCAGCTTCGATACAAGGTCCAATCGTAGTATTCGGACTTACCACGCTTCGGGCTCCGACCCGAAATCATTGGCCCGATTTGGATGTTGAACAATAGCCGGGCCAAAGTGACCGATTAAGTCGCTCGTCTTGATTCCTCATGTGTACCACATCTTCATGTTAGCCAAACGAGCTGCAACACGCAGAAGCACGTGTCTCGATTCAATTTGTGATTTAGAGCAGAAAGATTGACGACGCACAAACGTGCACCGTAACGGGTGACGTGAACCAAGACACTGGTTTGGGTAACAGCAATGCTTTTGGCTTTGCATCCGCGTGCACAGGGAGAAACGAGTGCGCGGTCGGTGAGGTTTTCCAGACTGTATTGTGTGGTCTAGATTCTCACAAAATCTACTCTTGATCTCACTACACACTGCGTACAGATGCCCTCCACAATCTCAGGAGTTCTGCAAGCTGCAAGCTGCACGCTGTCTCCGCTGTCTCTCTTCCGCACAGCTTCTCCACTGTCTCACTTCCGCACAGCTTCTCAACCCTTCCGTCAGGTGCCGTGCCTCGTCTTCCAACAAATGCACTCAAAGTCGCACTTGTGTTGAAGCAGGAGCTTGTAGCCCTAGTTAAGGTTTCTGTAAGATACGTGAGTGAGTTCTGGGGCTTGCCCTTTTATTTAAGTAATTCAGAAGAGAGAACTGAAATAAGCTCTATATATTCCCACACCTTGCGTCCAATTACTAATCCCCATTAGGGTTTGCAAAACGTCCATTAACAGTGAAGAGGGGATGAATGCTACTTTGCACTTAAAACGACGTGTATCGCACACCGAGCGTTGCTCACAGGAACCATCGGAGACCGACTACATCGCACTTAAAACGACGTGGAAGGTACATTTAGCGTTTATTTGACGACATTCGTCGCACTTACAACGGCCTGTAAAATATATCTAGCGTTATTCACGGGCACACAACATCGCACCAAGTACGACGTATGAGGTACACCTGGCGTCATTCTCACAGACTTTATCGCACCAAGTACGACGCACATTGATAAGTACGATTTTTTAAAGTTCGGCATTCACCTTGCGCACAGTCACTGATAGCTTCACCTTCGGGCTCGCAATAATTCAACTTGTAGCTCGTGACACATACATGAGTTTGCAAAGCTGGTCCACCATTCTTGAGAAAACTAGACAAACAACATCTCCTGTTTTAGTGAGCCTTTCGTGATATAATCCTTCCTCGAAGAGTTTTTTGCCAATAACTTTAATCCTCCGCTTACTTACAGGATTGGACGTCCACCGGGGTCGCTCTATAGTCGCTAACTTGTAACATCAAAATAATGGCGGAGAAGCCAGATAAATTTCATAGAGAGAGAACTTCGACGTAGGGGGAAAATGGAAAAGGTAAACCTTTTCATGCCAAGTACGAAGTGGTTTGTGTGGTGTTAGCACAGCAAATGCCAGCCTGAAGGTTGCGGAGTAGCTTGTAGGCAGAACGGTGTATCCCCGAGACGGACAATGCAAGGTACTCGCACTACCTAAGATGGTGGTCGTAGTGAAATTGATAAACCTGTCTGTAACAACACCCTCCTCTGCTTCAAATCCTTATTTTCCTGTCTTCCTTGCACTACATCCAAAGTCTATTGATCTATGAGTGCTGGATGGGCACTCCCGCGACGGACAATGCAAGGTACTCGCACTACCTAAAATGGCGGTCGTAGTGAAATTGATAAACCTGTCTGTAACAACACCCTCCTCTGCTTCAAATCCTTATTTTCCTTCTTCCTTGCACTATATCCAAAGTCTATTGATCTATGAGTGCTGGATGGGCACTCTCGTTTTCATCGATACAGTCGAAAAGCTCATCGATTAAAATTCAGCCGAAATTTTTTCACCATTTACCACAATGAACGCCAACCCAAGCAAATGTCCAGGACGGCTACATGTCAAACGGGGTGCCTCCGCTACATGGTAATTTACATAAGGAAAATATCATGCATAAGTGTTATGTCAAGACAGACACCACGTTCTCATAAAATGTGCCAGAAGTAATGCGCAGGTCATTGGTCAATATAGGATAATGACAGCAACTAATCAAGCCAAGCCACGACAGAAGAACGCAATGAGTGGTGAGCAGATAGTTACAGAGCATGGTTGTATTCAGGCATAGTTAAAAGAAGCCTTATAGAATTTACTAACAGAAGATCAACAATACTACACAGTTTTCTTTTTATCCTTACCTGTACTGAACCTTGCTATGCACGATACGTGTACGTGGGATTTTGAGGCATCTGCTAATTCTGTGTCAGAGTAAGTAGCTTGCACTGTAAAAGTACAAGCGATTGGAACACCGTATACAACATGTCTCTAACCTTAAAGTAAAGCATAAAATCAGGCTCAGAATGAAAAGTGAGGACCTGTGTTAGTGGTCCTTGCGTTCGCTGGGACTCTTTTCTTCTGATTTTGGGGGGATACAATCTGGGGTTGGAAAAGGGGCGAGGGTTCTCGTGAAGGTTTTTTTTATTATCCTATAATTATTTAGATCACTTTAAATTATTACAACACCGCCATGACTCGATACTTAATAATCCTTGATAACTCATAGGAGTGCCTCATCCCCGAGGCTAATGTTGACAAAGGGAAGACTGTCTGTCCAAAAATTGCTCGTCTTTTCAATGCCACTTTGTTGAATGGTAGTCTCTATAGATGTTTGCGCAAGAGCGTGTTTTCACATATAGCAATTTTACTCATACCTACGCTCTCGGCTACTCTTGTTGAGCACTAAAACTTTTTGCAGCGCTGTGCTGCTCCAAGAGCTTCTCTGCTACCCATACTTCTAGAGCAATTTCACACGGTCGTCATACGAACCCTTTCGCCGATAGCTCACTAAGACCTGGAACCTGTCGCGACGTATACAAAAGACAACACGTCTGTAACGGGGGACCCTTTGTTTGGGGTGCCGCGAAACTTCACGTACACTAGTACGTGCAGAGGAAGCTAAACTACTTGAAGGACTCGTTCAATTAAATGAAAAGAACTGTATTTAATAAAGTTGAGCTATCATTTTAACTTAAATCTTTATCTGACTACATTAAACTATGCCGTCGTATTAAAACAACCTGCTCACCACTCATTGCGCGCGTCTAGCAGCGATTGGTGGTAATCTGGGGTTGATACGTATTATATCAACCAATCTTGGAGCAGCGCATGCATGTTATCCAAAAGGAGATAAAATTTCTTTAATGTTATCCATCCCGGATAATATTGATAGAATATTATCATACGAGACAATATTCCAATTGACACCGTTTGGTGTCAAATTCATGGAACGGGCTACCTTGTTACAAGAAAAGGATTGAACTTCCACACATATTAATATGTTGTAATCCTGTCGACTCACAATTTACCGGCAAGAGCAGTAGATACGTGAGATCGAATTCTGCCGACCTTCCAGCACTTGCAACAACTAACTTGGCTCCAACTGACGCTGAATGTTCTTCGTCTTCACTTGCTGACACACGCAGTACCGGCGCAGTTCCATATGACGTGTTTGACGGCTATACGTTGGATCCATCGCTTTCGTCATCGCGCTCGAGTTGGCGACTCCGATCCCTATTGCGATGCTCTTTTTAGTCATGCTTGTTGTTGATTTAATCAAGTTGCGAAGCGAAGTTTCCTCGCACGTTTCAATGTAATCCACTTTTGTGTTGCTCATAGCAATGACATTCGAAAGGCGTGAACCATAAAGCGTGCCAACCGCAAATATCTAGAAACGACGCCGGTTCATCTGCCTCTCGTGTAAAGATGACCGCCTTAATATTTATAGCTCAATCTTTTAACAACAAATTGGTTTGCGCTTTATGTCGGCGCTTGTAGTTTGAACTGTATGCTAAAGTACTTGCCAAAAAGCAATATACTCGCTCCAATGCTCCAACATGTTTGCTTCAAGGCCTATTTACAAACCGACTGATCAATCTAGCTGCAACAAAAGGCCTGTTGCACTGACGTGACCAGGCATGTGTGCACACCCATTGCTGATCGATAAGGAAGAGGCAAAGCTACGTTAATCTCTCCGGTTCGTGGTATACAAGTCGCGTAATGCAATCCGCTGGATAAATTACTTTACGTTCTTCCACGAGTCCAGAACGGTTCAAATGTTCAAGTTTACACTGTTTCTGTCGTAAACTGCAATTTTATTTACTCCAATCGGTCTTGATATTACGATGCTTTGTCTCTTGCCTGTGATCTTTGATGCAACATCTCTGATTCAACAATTGAAACTGATCATTTTCTGCTATATTGTTTTTTTGCCGCCAGTCGAGCTTCGGCATTGACCAGCAACAGGCAAACGTTGTCATATTTTAACGTACGCATAAACACGGCTCCGTATGCCCATGCTTAATCTATTGCGCCTAAAAATTATCCAATTATGTGGTCCACGCTTACCAGCCTGGACCAACCGTAGAGCCTTCTTCGCCATGAAGGCTGTACTGCTTGTATTCACGTGGCCTTGCACGCGGTTGACGTACCGTTTAATGTGTAAGTCCGCATTTAAATATGCTTTGTTGACGTCACAACTGCATATCTCCGGATCCTAAGCCCTAGAAGTGCTACAAACAACCGAATGACTCCATGTGAACTAAAAGTGCAAATGTTTCCACAAGTTAGCACATTTGCCATTCTTGTCACCGAGCTCAACATGCCGAGCTTTAAATGAAATTAATCCTTCTCTCTCGTTGATCTTTATCGTATATCAACATCGTCGTTAGCATGATCTTCGACGGTGGTAATTACTCTACGTTAATCTTCTCGAGAACTCTTTTGGTCTTGAGCGCCTCGAGTATCAACTCCGCATCACGCTACTTACTTGCGTACTCGAATATCACTGCGTCCGTGCGGTTCTTCGGGATCTTGACATTACCTTGTATTGCTTTATCCCCCACAACAATAATACACTTTGCTGCATGAGCGACGATGTCGTTGAAACACGACGGCATTCGACGTTGTCTCGTCTGCCGCCGCATGATTTCACGTTAATTTTTTACCTACATGATCTCCGTGTTACTTCCTGTCGACGACATCTGCGCACGATTGCGCTTTGTAGGGTCCGCTCGAGCCACGCGTTCCACTGCGCTGCATGTAGTGTACGGGTAATTGTCACTCTCGCACTTATCCGTGTCAACGGAGCCTTTCTCAACATTAATTGAGTAATCGCACGCAAAACTTTCGTCACTCTGATATCAATTACTTTCTTTGACATACGCACGTTTCTGACTTATGCCCGATGATGTTGCTTACTCTTGGCCTTTTGCTGACTCGAGTGTAACTAATAAAAAAAATTTAAATTCAGCTTCCGTCGGCACACTGACATTTAATATTTTAATCAAGTAGTCACTTACACTCGGTTCGCAATCACCGACCACGTCGCCACCACCGGTAAAGTCGTGTGTTCGAGGACCTATCAGGCTTTAACATCACTTAACGCGTCTAAAGCACCGCCACGTAATTCGATACTCTCACGTGACGCATCTTGATCATCTTTAAGTGCGTCGATCCTCTCACGCGATGACATATCTTCGTCGACAATGCTCACGCTCTTCTTGATGCGTGCATCGTCAATTTTACGGCGTCGACCGATACGTATACAGGTGTGAGCCGGTCGCGGTAGAGAACGTTCTCGTTCACACGTATTTCAGGCACATACTTCTGGGTACGGTCATCTGGAAAGCAAATTTTGCAACCCGGAACGTCTTTTGCAAAATTTTAAATGAATCCAATATTGGTGGTACTGTGCAGATTGTGACGCTGTGCGTCGGCTTATATGTGTGCATATGACAACGAATTGAACGGCAGAAGATGATGGGCGTCCGGTAGCAGTCCGAACATGATTTCGTTAGTTATTCTTGCGCATCCACAATCAATTTTGCGGTTCTTGATACAGACAGCATATTGAAAAGCAACCGTCTAAAACTTCGAGGCATTTCGAGTGTTGCAACATTGCTCGCGTCACGTCCATCAACGTCCGATGATGCCCCCTTTGCACAGTTCTGCAGCAAAATTTCTTATCCAACCTTTACATGCTCTATTCCGCGAGAATTTAGTTACTGCATGAACTCGTCAATGGCAAATTTGCCACCTTTGTCTGTTACCAATTATCGTATTGTTAATATATTTTCATCAATAGTCTTGCTTGCATTGCGAAAAGCGTGTCGTTCATTTAAAAAAAATGCAAAGTTTCAGTGCTTCAGTTACTTCACCTGCTGATCTGATTTTGATCATGTAAGCTTTCAAAAACTTGTCAAAGGCATCCATGATGACCAATGTTTGCACCAATATGTGTGCCACAATGAATGCCCGGCACTAGTGAATCCGTGTAAACAAGTTAGTTTGGCATCGCAATGTTTTGGTTCAGCGTCTTTGAAACACATGCTATTTCCATTGACACTTTTCGCAGTCAAGTGCATCCCGTACTGAGATCATAATGCCATTGACGTGCTTCTGTTCCACCGTCAACTTGACTTACTATGAACGCACATAGCCTAAACGCTTGTGCCACAATTTCAAGTCAGCTACACTATCTTGTTGAAAGGTGTGAAGCTTAAAGACCGAAACTGGGAGGGAGGTTGAGGAGTCCACTCGGAAGACCGAAGAGACTTTAACAGTAAATGTAAGATTGAAAAGTGATTGATTATCGGAGCTTAGCTGCCTGCGCCCTAAATTATGTGTCCACAAAAAAATGACTCGGCGCGTCTAATCATCCTGTTCGCCTAATCATCCATGCGTATCTGTTGTAAAAGAGACGTCTCGGCATGATGTGACAGAAATGTGTTCTGTAGCTCAGCCGGTTTGGCATGGCAGTACCATCCCAAAGGTCACTGGTTCGATGCCGGTGGGGGCGTACAAACAACAAGATAAGCCATCGGGATCTGGTGTTTGGGGTTCACCAGCACTGTACTGCCAGACCGTGACGTCCCCCATTTTCGGTACGTTTGGGTGTTCAGAAACGCACGACCAGAATTAGAAATGTACGACTAGACGATTAGTAATGCGCGACTAGACGATTAGTAATGCTCGATGTGGCGATTACTAATGCGCGACTATATGATTAGTAATGCGCGATATAGCGATTAGGAACGTGTAGTCGAAGAATCCTGTAGGCTTAGAGTAGCAACAGAGTTTGTGAACTAAGGACCTAAATATATTCACTTTGCATTTTACCATCTCGTGCTCGACTGCCTTAGCCTTTAAATCATGAGCCCAAGCCCCGTTTTCTTCAATAAAGACTCCGACTACGCCTTCGCCATGGATGCTGCCGCAACGTAGACCGCCCGCATCAACAAGTTCCAAGGGACCAGCTTCCACACATGGAAGTTCAAGATGCCGATGGTCCTGGAAGAGCGCGACCTGTGGGAGGTCCCATCTGTAGAAGTCAAGCTGGAGCACTGCATCAACGTGATGGATCAATCGACGTTCAAGAGTAAGTCACGCAAGGCGCTGGCGATCATCTGTCTCGCGATAGAAGATTCGCAGCTGCCGCTGGTCCGTTCAGCGATTGTAGCATACGAAGCATGGTCAAGACTGGAAGGGCATTACGAGAAGAATAGTCTGGCGAACAAGCTCTTTCTTCGTCGACGCTTCTTCACAACGATGATGGATGAAGGTGTTGCTGTGCTGGAGCACATCAACAAGCTCAAGACTCTGGCGGAGCAGCTCGATGCGGTTGGCGCTCCGGTCAGCGAGGACGACTTGGTGATCACGCTTCTTGGTAGTCTAAGCGATTCGTACCAGTTTCTGATCACGGCGTTAGAGTCTCGTGCTGAATCTCTGTCGTGGGAACTCGTGACGTCTCGGCTAATGCATGAAGACATGAAGCGCAAGGAACAAGGTGGCGGCGTCGACGGATCCGCGCACGGTCAAGGTCAAGCGTTCATGACAAGCAATCACAGCAAGTGAAAAGGAGGACGGCCTGTGCAGAAGGCCAGTGCATGTCACTACTGTGGCGAGCAAGGACATTGTATTGCCAAGTGTCCAGTGAGGATCCGCGAGAATGCAGAACGGCAGAGGTCGCAAAGAGCAAGCGTCGCGTAGGTTAAAGAAGACTCTGGCGACTTTCTGTTTTCAGTTGATGGAGATAACATCAAGCTGAGTGAAGAGTGGCTGGTCGACTCAGGTGCGACTCAGCACAAGACATTCTCAAAAGAATGCATGAAGAACTACCAGAAGGTCTCGCCAGTGGATGTGCATTCGGCGAAGGATGGCGTGGTACAAGCAGTGGGAAAGGGAGACATCATCATTTCCATGAGGACTAAACACGACGTCAAGAAAAATGTGCTTATTGGTGTGTGGCACATCCCCAAGTTGACGCGCAACCTGTTCTCTGTGGGGCGTTTTACAAAAGACATTGGCCTCGTCACATTTGAAAGTGACGGGTGCTTTGCTAAGTCGAAAAGTGTGAAATGGCAGCTGGGTACGCGCAAGGGAAAGGGCTTATTCAGGTTATGCATGACCCCGCTCATGCCAGATGAGGAAAATGTGTTAAGTTCAACCGGTTTCAATGGGACCAACCGGCCCTACCTCTGGCATCCTCGACTTGGCCATGTTGGCCATGACGGTCTAGACTTCATTGTCAAGAAGGGCTACGGCATCGGCATCAATGTCACGTCTGTGCAACGGTGGGATATGTGTCAAGGGTGTGCTCTTGGCAAACAAACTTGAGTGATCTTTACGCCAAATTCCCCAGAGAGTGCAAAGAAGATGCTAGACGTCATCCACAGCGATGTCTGTGGTCCTATGCAAACAGCTTCGCTCGGTGGAAGCAGATACTTTGTCACGTTCAGTGACGAGTATTCACACTTAAGTGTGTTGTTCTTGCTTAAGAACAAGTCTGAAGTGGCTTCTAAGTTTGCCAAACTCGTCGCATTTGCAGAGACTTAGACAGGCAACCGCGTCAAGCTACTTCGCAGTGACAACGGCGGAGAGTACAAGTCGCATAGGATGACCAAGCCGTGCAGCAGTCGTGGCATTGTACAAAAGTTCACGCCTCCCTACACACATCAACTCAACGGAGTGGCAGAACGGATGAACAGGACATTGGTGGATTGCGCTCGCTGCATGTTGTAGCATGCCAGACTGTTCAAGGAATATTGGGGTGAAGCGATTGTAACCGCCACATTTCTTCGAAATCGATGTCCAAAACGTGCCACAAGTCAAGACAAGTCGCCACATCAAATCTGGACCGGCAACAAACCGCTGTTTTGAAATCTGAAGGCGTTCGGTTGTCACGCATACGTGACGGTCCCGAAGCAAAAGCGCACCAAGTTTGATGCGCAGTCAGTCTATTGCCGCTTCTAGGATACTCTGAACACGAGAAAGCGTATCGCTTTGAAGAGATCAAGAGCCGTCGTGTTCTAGTGAGTCGCGACGCAAAACTTATGGAAGACGTCTTCGACAGTGGGAGACGCACCGAAAGAGACGCAGAAGATGAATTTTGAAAGTCAAGAAGATGAGAGTACAGGTCAGGAATGTTCTTCCGTACCAATTCAGCCTGATGAAGAAGACGCTGCGCAAGACCAAGATACGGAGCCCGGCAGTAAGCGCCACACGCAAACCCCTTCGTTGGAACAAGCTGTGGAGATTCCGGTTCCCAAGCGGCAGAGTCAAAGAATTTTGCTCAGAAACATGTCGGCGGTGGCACAAGTCGAGGACGACTTTGAGACAGCCTACGTTGTGAATTCAGTGGGAGATATTCCGACAACGTTTAAGTCGGCGATGGAATCCAACAACGCAGTCAAGTGGAAGGAAGCGCGCGACTCCGAAATCGACTCCCTCCGCAAGAACACGACATGGCAAGAGGGTGCAATTACCTAAGGGTCGGGAAACTATCGGATGCAGATGGGTGTTCGGCGTCAAAGAGAATCAAGATGGTGGGATCGAGCGTTTTAAAGCGCGCCTTGTTGCGAAGGGGTTCTCACAGAAGTTTGGCATCGACTACGGGGAAACATTTGCTCCGGTTGCCAAGTTCACTTCGATTAGAGTCATCCTCAGTCTGGCAGCCAAGTACCCCCTTAAGGTGAACCAGATGGATATCAAGACCGCGTTTCTGAACGGCGAGCTGGATGAAGACATCTACATGGCGCAACCGGACGGCTACATCGACGAAGATCACGAGCATTTCGTTTTCAAACTGCAGTGGTCACTGTACGGGCTAAAACAATCACCGCGGATGTAGACAAGACCATCGGCGAGTTCATGATCAAGATCGGATTCAAGAAATGCGAGTCCGATTACTGCATTTATATTAAGCGAGATGAGCAGCGCACGATCTTTGTGGCGCTCTACGTCGATGATTTAATCATCGTCAGCAGCAGCAACAAGAGCCTTTGTGAAACCAAAAACGCACTAAATGAGAGGTTCGAGATGACAGACATGGGGAAGCTCAAGTTCTTTCTTGGAATTGAGATTGAGCGGGACGAATCAGGAGGGACACTGTCATTACGGCAGAGCAAGTTCGCGAAAGACATTTTAGAGAAATTCGGCATGCTGAAGAGCAATTCAGTCAGGTCGCCACAAGACCCAGGCCTGAAGTTGACCAAGGCCATGTGCGAAAGAGGTTGAAAGCATGAAGAAACGATGGCAAATTGTCCCTACCGGAACGCCGTAGTATGCTTCATGTACCTTATGGTGGGCACCCGTCCCGACCTTGCAGCTGCAGTGGGAGTGCTCAGCCAGTTTGCCTCCGATCCGTGTCCAACACACTGGCAATCACTCAAGAGGGTTTTCGGAATGTAAATGGTACCAGGACACACGGAATTAAGTTTCAAGCAAGTGAAGACGACAGCCTACAAGGCTACTCAGATGCAGACTGGGCCGGCGACATAGAGTCAAGGCGCAGTGCAAGTGGCTATGCCTTCATGATGAACAACTGTTGCATCAGCTGGAGGAGCAAGAAGCAACGAACGGTGGCACTATCATCAGCGGAAGCAGAGTACATGGCGCTATCGGAGACTACACAAGAATCAGTTTGGTTGAGGGTGTTCCTGTGCAAACTTGGTGAGATGACAAGCAACCAAGCTGTCAAGATCTCCAAGGACAACCAAGGATCGATTGCATTGGCCAAGAACCCAGAATTTCACAAACGCACCAAGCACATCGACATTCGCTACCATTTTGCTCGTGAAAAGGTTGCTGAAGGACAAGTGGTGCTAGAATACTGCCCAACCAAGGACATGAAGGCCGATATAATGACCAAGCCGATCACCGTCGTACAGTTCCAGAAACTTCGGACCATGTTGGGCATCAAGGCGCCACAATCTGCCGAGGCGAGTGGGAGTGTTGTAATCGACGTCTTGGCATGATGTGACAGAAATGTGTTCTGTAGCTCAGCCGGTTTGGCATGGCAGTACGATCCCAAAGGTCACTGGTTCGATACCGGTGGGGGCGTACAAACAACAAGATAATCCATCGGGATCTGGTGTTTGGGGTTCACCAGCACTGTACTGCCAGACCGTGACGTCCTCCATTTTCGGTACGGTGGGTGTTCAGAAACGCACGACCAGAATTAGAAATGTACGACTAGACGATTAGTAATGCGCGACTAGACGATTAGTAATGCTCGATGTGGCGATTACTAATGCGCGACTATATGATTAGTAATGCGCGATATAGCGATTAGGAACGTGTAGTCGAAGAATCCTGTAGGCTTAGAGTAGCAATAGAGTTTGTGAACTAAGGACCTAAATATATTCACTTTGCATTTTACCACCTAGTGCTCGACTGCCTTAGCCTTTAGCATCAACCACGTCAAACTATACCGTAAAACTACTCCTTAGAATTCGGGTTGTGTCGGCAACCTTCAATATGTCTCGATCAGTATAGTTTTAAATACGCTTTTCTACACAGTTGTCATTTACCCGATGCAGTATTGCTTTTAAACACCCAAACTGCTCCGACTTTGTCAGCTTTATCCACTAAGTCTTTTTTCTTCATCCGTTTAAACGAGTTCGTGTTCAATTCCCATTCAACATCGAAGCCGTCGTCGAGTGTGCGTCTTATCGACAGAAGCGGGTTGACTACTCCATGCATGAGATGTACATCGTCGATCACAGTATGCACTGTCTTGCCGATGACAAACATTTTTGGTAAGATTAATCCAGCCCCAAATAGTAGCTCCTTGAAGCTTAATGCGACGCCATGCAGAGTCTCTTTGTCGATGAAGAGCATTTGATATCGAATGAAGTAGCGCTCGCCTCCGACTAAATGCGTATTGAATATAGTGTCAATTTACCAATACGGCATCTCATCAGCTTTGCTGGCTTGCTCCACGTCATGCATGCCTTTGCCATCGTCTAACTATTTTAAATTGTCAGTATTCATTTTACTTGATCCTCACCGAAGATCTCAAACACTTACATCGCGTGAAGCCTCTATGTTGCGTTGGCCTTCACCACGCTCACCGCCTTTGGCTACGTCTGTCGTAGGACCGTCATCATTCTTTGCACGAGTCGGGCTATCCCGTTTTCGTTTCTTTTAACGATGCATGTGTAACACTTCTTTTGCTTGTAATTTGACCGGTCACGTCCACGTCCTTTTTATTGTCAGCAGCGTTAAGTCCCTTGCTGTCACCACCCTGACCGCCTTTTTGTCACGATAGATTTCCATGCACATGCGTTTTGTGCCCATTAGTGTGTCAATTTAAAATTCTCTCGTGGCCTCTACTTGTAGATATTCAGATGCACGGATCAGCTCACGAGTCTTCTCCATTGTTTAGAATGTCGCGTCACCCGCTCCTTAAACCCTCCGTCGCACTTATAGGACTGCGTCGTTACTGACAAACTAGTCAGTAGCGCTTCGCGCAAATAAAGTTTGTTCACAATGTACTCAAGATCAGCCAGTTTCGTCTGTGTAAATCCTGGCTAGATGCGCATTCACTTTTTCATCTTCTTTCAGCTTTTCACTACAGAGTGTGAACCAGCTGCCGTACACGATGTCCACGAACAATTAAGTCGTACTTGTTCTCGCAAATAGCCATCAACGTTTTACACAAGGCTGGTGCTGGAGTGACCTGTTGTTATAGATCGTGCGACAGGCCGGTGAAGATGTAACGCTTCGCCCGGAGCTGGAATTAATCGCATGCTTTTTGGCCTTCTGCCGTCATAAGCTTTGACTTATCATACCGCTCGTCAATTTGCTCATTTTCTGATCACAGGAGACACCCTACATATACAGATTATTATACTGCCAGTCACTTTCTTCCCATTTGATCGGGACTACTTCTCTCGTGTAATTCTACTCTATCATCTCTTCGTGAGTGGTAAGGCAGATGGACGATCCTATCGATTGTTGCACCAGAGTATGTTTTCACAATTGGCATTTCTACTCATACCTACGCTCTCGGTTATTTTTGCTGAGCATCTATAATTCTTGCAGTGCTATGCAGCTCCCATAGCTACCCTACTACGCATATTACTAGAGCAATTCCACACAATGTCATTCGGGCCCTCCTTCCGCTCACCTACTAATATCTAACAACGTCACACAGACCCTGACACCAATCAGCCGCAAAGCTCTGGAACCTGCACTGCGCTTACAAAATCCAAAACACTTGTGCTTACAGCGGAGAGTACAATGATGCATTACTTATTACATCGATAATAATCCGTTACTAGAAAAAGCATTGTTTAAAAAATATGTTGAGTTTCCCTATAGGATAATTATGTGACGTATGATTCATTACGTTGGTTTCATGCCCCCGATTGATTAAAAATAGGTCAAAAAATGCCCAAATCTGCGTCCATAAAGTACAAGATACGCGAGTCGTTTGCCACCATCCACCCCAGGGTGTCGTATACGCCTACCAACCCTTCTGACAATATCAACTTCCATAAGCATATGTACTACCTGTTAATTATACTCAAATAATTTGTCCAATACTTTGATCGAGAACTATACAGAAATTTTAACCGGACGCATACCAAGTTGTGCATGATAACGTTCATCCTGAACTCATTTTTTGATCCTTTGCAAATGGATAAAGACCGTCCAAAACGAAGCTGAGTTTCGCTGCTATTGGACTGTGTGAATTCCAAAAACAGGTCACCGACGATACACCGATGCAGCTCCCGAACTCGACGCTCAGCCTTTGTGTCAAGGCACAGGTGTAGTTATCGTATCCTCCAGGTAGGTGTTCCGTTTCGCACTCTCTACAAGTATGTAACATCCAGGGGAGATATCTGCTGGTTTTCTCGTGAGACGTGCCCCATACCAGTCTTGACTGAAGACGGCGAGAAGCATTTCGTCGAATAAGTAAAGAGATGCAGCTCAGCGGTACACCAGATACGCACAGGAAGATATCCTCGACTGAAAAGCAATATATCTTTTTGTATACACGGCTTAATCTGTGCCATGTCTGACGGGATGTATTTCCGCTTAATAATAGGCAATCTTGATATGATCAACAGGCAAGTTTAGACAAAATCTTGAGCAAGCAACGCGTGCACTAAACTCAGTCTCAACGTGTCCATTTACGCGTTTTAAAGCTCTTGACTGAGTATCGTCTCGACGCAAGCCGCATATTCAATATGGACGAAACCAGCTGTCTTACGCGCCGACAAAGTACCAAGATGGTCGCCTTCTGTAGCTTGCGGAATGTTTGGTCTGGTCCATTTCCATTAAAATTCATCTTACTGTCGTTGCATGCGTCAGTGCTTCCGATGGTGTCTTGCCTCCACTCTTTATTCTCCTCGGCGAGCTTGTTAGCCGCAACTAAATGGATTACTGCTTGTTCAGATGTAATCGACTTATTTGCAAATACAGTGTTTTTAACATCCGCTAAAACAATTCCGCTGGGTAGAAATGCGATCCACTTCGGAACCGAAAACAGTGAATCGTCCCCTATTGCTCCAATTCGCTGATTTTTCCCCATTTTCCGTGGAATTGGAGGATTTAGGAGAGCAACTTAATTTACCTTTGTGTGCCTGCCTGCGAGCGCAACACACTCACGACAGCCACTAGATGTTGCTGTGCTATCGCGTGATACAAGAAGAAGACATGCACTCTAGTTCGCCATGATGAAAAAATAACGTCTCTTTTAGCAATTATGGACGGATTTGGCAGAACATATGTCATTGTCTGTGTTAAAGTTCCCATTTTTGCCATTTGCAATTGGTATTGAAAGCGACGCATATAATCAAGCTATATGTGGAAGAAATTCGACTGCTGAGTTCAAAAGACGGCTGGTGTCTTCCCTTTAAAGTACCCGCAAATGATGGGAAGATTTGATATGTTTAACAATGGGGGGCAGGAAGAGCAGCTCAGAGAGCGATTTTGCTTTCCTTCGATCAACAGAGGTAACAATGGTGGTAACTCTTTCAGTGAAGGAGAATGCAGAGAAGGTAAAGGTAAAGGTATTGCTGGAAGGCTCTTGGCACGCGATGACTCGAAACAGATTACCTTAGTACCATATAAACGCAGGAGTGTGGAATTTTACTCAGCAGAAATGCATAAGAAGTATAGTTTCATATCTCTATTGAAAGGATAACATCTTAATTTTGGTACAATTCTATTCATGCTGCATCTTCTATTTTTAATGGTACGGAGGTAGGGTATGGTTTGCATGCATGAAGAAATTATCGACCGACTTTCTAAGCACAAAAATAGTAAGACTACATTGTACACTTTACTAAAAAGGAAATAAATCATAATTAATATTTCCTGGGGGTTGTGTACGTGCTAATATTCTAATTAAAATCAAACCAAATCAGTCAAGAAAGCCCTACACTGCTGATTTAAGTCATACTTTTTCTTTTGTGATCAGCTGAATTGCTAAGCTGCAAGTACCATTATCCCTGAGCATTTGAAATGGGAAATACCAAAAGTTCGTGTACATGCAGATTAGTTTAATCAGGAGCATTTCGATCGGTCAGAATGGGGATGTTAGTGCTTACAACATATCTTCCGGTATAGTTCTATACACTGAATCTAAAATTTTGCCAAATGCACTTGGCAGTAGTTTTCAAATATTTTTTTTTGGTCAAACGGGGTGAGCCTGTTACACGCTACTAACTTTGATATTTGTTGATTAGAAAATTATCGTAAGGATTGATTATGGGCATGAATATTACCATAAGAGGTAATATTCAGAAACACTCACCGATTGGCTGATATGGGCAATCATATCAGCTAGCTTTAGGAGTCCAAATAATGAGGACGCGCGCAATGAGTGGTGAACAAGACAACTTTCTACTCCTGTTAAACGCGTCGTTCGATTTCTAGCCTTCCTCTACACGTTCTCTGTACGTTACGTGACGCGCGACACTACCTACACTATTTTCAGTGTAGGTGAACTAGTACTGAGCAG